TTGTCGTGTAGTGGTTGTGGCTGTTGTTGGGTAGTGGTTGTGGCTGTTGTCGGGTAGTGGTTGTGGCTGTTGTCAGGTAGTGGTTGTGGCTGTTGTCGGGTAGTGGTTGTGGCTGTTGTCGGGTAGTGGTTGTGGCTGTTGTCGGGTAGTGTTGTGGCTGTTGTCGGGTAGTGGTTGTGGCTGTTGTCGGGTAGTGGTTGTGGCTGTTGTCGGGTAGTGGTTGTGGCTGTTGTTGGGTAGTGGTTGTGGCTGTTGTCGGGTAGTGGTTGTGGCTGTTGTCGGGTAGTGGTTGTGGCTGTTGTCGGTGTAGTGGTTGTGGCTGTTGTCGGGTAGTGGTTGTGGCTGTTGTGAGGCAGTGGTTGTGGCTGTTGTCGGGTAGTGGTTGTGGCTGTTGTCGGCAGTGGTTGTTGCTGTCGTGTAGTGTTGTGGCTGTTGTGGGTAGTTGTTGTGGCTGTTGTTGGGTAGTGGTTGTGGCTGTTGTCGTGTAGTGGTTGTGGCTGTAGTTGGGTAGTTGTTGTGGCTGTTGTCAGGTAGTGGTTGTGGCTGTTGTCGGGTAGTGGTTGTGGCTGTTGTCAGGTAGTGGTTGTGGCTGTTGTCAGGTAGTGGTTGTGGCTGTTGTCAGGTAGTGGTTGTGGCTGTTGTCAGGTAGTGGTTGTGGATGTTGTTGGGTAGTGGTTGTGGCTGTTGTTGGGTAGTGGTTGTGGCTGTTGTTGGGTAGTTGTTGTGGCTGTTGTCAGGTAGTGGTTGTGGCTGTTGTCTGGTAGTGGTTGTGGCTGTTGTCGGGTAGTGGTTGTGGCTGTTGTTGGGTAGTGGTTGTGGCTGTTGTTGGGTAGTGGTTGTTGCTGTTGTCGGGTAGTGGTTGTGGCTGTTGTTGGGTAGTGGTTGTGGCTGTTGTTGGGTAGTGGTTGTGGCTGTTGTTGGGTAGTGGTTGTGGCTGTTGTCGGGTGGTTGTGGCTGTGGATGTCGTGTTGTTGCTGTAGTGGTTGTGGCTGTTGTCAGGTAGTGGTTGTGGCTGTTGTCAGGTAGTGGTTGTGGCTGTTGTCAGGTAGTGGTTGTGGCTGTTGTCAGGTAGTGGTTGTGGCTGTTGTCGGGTAGTGGTTGTGGCTGTTGTCAGGTAGTGGTTGTGGCTGTTGTCTGGTAGTGGTTGTGGCTGTTGTCAGGTAGTGGTTGTGGCTGTTGTCGGGTAGTGGTTGTGGCTGTTGTTGGGTAGTGGTTGTGGCTGTTGTCGGCAGTGGCTGTGGCTGTTGTTGGGCAGTGGTTGTGGCTGCTGTTGCAGTGGTTGTGGCTGTTGTCGGGTAGTGGTTGTGGCTGTTGTCGGAGTGGTTGTGGCTGTTGTCGGGTAGTGGTTGTGGCTGTTGTCGGGCAGTGGTTGTGGCTGTTGTTGGGTAGTGGTTGTGGCTGCTGTCGGCAGTGGTTGTGGCTGTTGTCAGGGTAGTGGTTGTGGCTGTTGTTGGGTTGTGGTTGTGGCTTTGTTCCCGGCAGTGGTTGTGGCTGTTGTTGGGTAGTGTTGTGGCTGTTGTCGGGTAGTGGTTGTGGCTGTTGTTGGGTAGTGGTTGTGGCTGTTGTTGGGTAGTGGTTGTGGCTGTTGTTGGGTAGTGGTTGTGGCTGTTGTCGGGTAGTGGTTGTGGCTGTTGTTGGGTAGTGGTTGTGGCTGTTGTGATGGTTGTGGCTGTTGTCGGGTAGTGGTTGTGGCTGTTGTTGGGTAGTGGTTGTGGCTGTTGTCGGGTAGTGGTTGTGGCTGTTGTTGGGTAGTGGTTGTGGCTGTTGTTGGGTAGTGGTTGTGGCTGTTGTCGGGTAGTGTTGTGGCTGTTGTTGGGAGTGGTTGTGGCTGTTGTCGGGTAGTGTTTGTGGCTGTTGTTGGGTAGTGTTGTGGCTGTTGTTGGGTAGTGGTTTGGGTTGTTGTTGGCTAGTTGTTGTGGCTGTTGTTGGGTAGTGGTTGTGGATGTTGTCGGGTAGTGGTTGTGGCTGTTGTCGGGTAGTGGTTGTGGCTGTTGTTGGGTAGTGGTTGTGGCTGTTGTCGGGTAGTGGTTGTAGCTGTTGTCGGGTAGTGGTTGTGGCTGTTGTTGGGTAGTGGTTGTGGCTGTTGTCGGGTAGTGGTTGTGGCTGTTGTCGTGTAGTGTTGTGGCTGTTGTCAGGTAGTGGTTGTGGCTGTTGTCGGGTAGTGTTTGTGGCTGTTGTCGGGTAGTGTTTGTGGCTGTTGTCGGGTAGTGGTTGTGGCTGATGTTGGGTAGTGGTTGTGGCTGTTGTTGGGTAGTGGTTGTGGCTGTTGTTGGGTAGTGTTTGTGGCTGTTGTCGGGTAGTTGTTGTGACTGTTGTCGGGTAGTGATTGTGGCTGTTGTGGGGTAGTGATTGTGGCCATGTCGGCTAGTGATTGTGGCTGTTGTCGGGTAGTGATTGTGGCTGTTTTTCGGTGGTTGTTATGGCTGTAGAAACGATTTCATTGTTTGTGTTCCTGGAACATTTGCTGTCTACATGAGCAATCTTGCAAATAGAAACGCGTCGTGCAATATGTGGCGAATCTTCAAAGCAAGAAAGTGATTAATCGAGGCTGTTTAGGTGTGTTTATTCAGTCTCTATTTTATCTTGATTAAAACAACTCCATTGTTTGTTCAAAATATTGTTCCTCAGAATCCTGATATGCTCATTATAATAATTGCCGTTTCAGAGGAATGTTGATTATCACGTTCACTGTGCTATGAATCATCAAATAATGACATTTAGGGGGGATTCATGAGATTAATCAAACAATTTTATGAGAAACTGCGTAGTAAAACTAAAATCATTTGTTGTCGAGCTAAGACCTGAAATGTTGAAATCATATCACCAACCTTTGATAAGTTCACGCGTGCAAAGAATCACTTTGATACACTGAACGATAACAGTGCAGTAGGGGCTCTTTATTTTGCGTAAAAATGTTATTACTTTAAGGATTTAGATTTTTCATATGAATTGTAATTGTCTGGGGAGTGTTCGCTGTTATAAACTAAAACAGAAGCTATTGATATAAAAGCCAGCACGCAGTGGTTCTTTTCCTGGGCGACTTGTTGTCTTTCCTAACAGCGTTTTATGTTGAGACGTTTACAGCGTGAGCTGTTCGTAATATCAACCATTGGTTTGTCTTGACGAGTCTCGAATATTAGCACACGTAATTTGAGTGAGTAAGTGGGTTTATTTGTACTCTGCTTTTAGCAATATCACGGCCGGGGAAACCAACAATGAGCTTCACACATTGTACCCATGTGGGGAATCGAACCCGGGTCTTCGGCGTGACGAGCAACAAACGCTTTAACCACTAGGCTGCCCCACCGCCCCTTCACGAAATTAAACATATAAAACATATAAAGGTGTAGACATTAAACATGACCTTACATCGGTGGTTAGATGCAGTAACACACAAAAACAATCATTACAAATTAACACAAACATACACACACATACCTACATAGGGCGGTGGGGTAGCCTAGCGGTTAAAGCGTTCGCTCTTCATGCCGAAGGACCGGGTTCGAATCCCCACATGAGTACAATATGTGAAGCCCATTTCTGGTGTCTCCCGCCGTGATTTTGCTGGAACATTGCTAAAAGCGGCTGAAAACCATACTCACTCACTCACACACCTACATGAAATATACATAAAGAAAGGCACACTCAAACACACTGACAAACACATATACTTATAACATGGCAGTGCTCTTCGTGAGATGCTGGTGAACCCTACCGTACACAGAGCGCCCCCATCATTACCAGGTGTAGGGCATGTCTGTGTGTGATAGATGACCTCAGTAATAGCATCCATTGATTTGGATTCCTCACAAGAGACTACCAAATTGCATCTTTTCTAAACATTTCAGACAGCTCTCTCCAGTTTCCGCAAAAAGATTCAAGGATAATCAACATGTCCTTTAGGACTACTGGCTTGCAAAAACTCACATATCTAAACTTAGGACAAAATCCATTCAGTGGTTCATGAATGATCTGTTCATTGACAACCGTAATTCCCATCATATCAAATCCATCATTTCCATCGTAAACATTTGTCCGGTAACAAAATTGAACGGGAAATAAGCTACCGGCAGAAGAAAGTCATCACTGGCTTCATTTGACATGTGAAATTTATGAATACTATTTTACAAACAGAAATCATTTTCCAATAATTTGACTGAAGATTCATTGTAATGCTGGTCTTGCATTTGCCGCCAAGGGGTCAAAACTGCAAATAACACAAATCAGAGTTCAAAATGTGCATAAAGAGTGACATAATGAGACAGGAATCAGGGGACACGTCATCAATAGCGAGTGTGACCACCCTGGGCATCCATACACGCCAACACACGTCTCCTCACTGACGCCGTCAGTCGGCGGATGACGTCAGCAGCAATCCTGTTCCATAAGTCCAAGAGTCTGTTCCTGTTGGTTCGCTGCAGGTGGTACACGCTGTCTCAGCTGACGATCAGGATGATCCTAAGAGATGTTGATTGGGGTTCATGTCTGGATAGAATGGGATATTGGGGTTCATGTCTGGAGAGAATGGGGTTCATGCAATTCATCGAGTTGGACCAGTGTTGTTTTATCCGCCGCTGCTGTCAGAGTTGGTACGCAAAAAACCGTACCTTCTCCTTGATTTCAACCCAGTAAGAACATAAAGGACAGCAAAACATAAGTGTACATTTAAAAGCACGTGCGCAAAGTGCAATTTTGTATATTTAGGCAGGTTTTGAGATATGTATGTTTCGGACCGGGAGCTGCATGAGGCACAGAGGATGAGTGAGTGAGTGAGTTAACATTTACAGTCACATCAGCAATATTTCAGCCATATTGTGACTGGAACAAGTTGTACTGTTACTATAACTTAAAAACTGCCATCGACGGACAGTATAACAACTAGCAATATATGACAAAATGTTTTAAAACTAATTGAAGAAAAATAAAATATCTTATCATACAAAAGTGTTAATGGATCTGTAGACCACCAGCAAGGAACGTAAGATCAAATGTTAGAGACCATGGGGACTCAGGACTCAGGACAGTACCGACACAGGATGAGACGGGGAGCAGTGGAGAGGTACAGGATGCTGACAGACTGACCTCCAGAGGTGTACCCCGAGTTTGCCAGCAGCCAGCAGGGGATTACCTGGGATTAGAGGACACACATGAATGAGCGTGCAGGGCAAGTTGTTCCCTGTGTAATATGTTCCGGGGTAATTAGGCTACCCATAAAATTGACACTGTGACTTCATTCATGCATTTATTTCAACATACATGCATATACTACTCACACTTTGCTAAGGATCACAAAACTTCACAACTTTACTTAAACGTAGATTCATAATTTGAAATTGTATCCATTTAAAAATGGACAAATAAATAATATGGTAACCCCTCTTCAGGCAAACAGTCACTTTAATCTAACCTTCTGCACTTGCCTGTCCAGAACCTCATGAAGATGACAACCAATCTGACAATGGTTAATTAATGAAATACCATTTTCTGATGGACATGGTGAAACCCTGTACGCTGACATCTAACGGTAAATGTCTTGAGTGATTTGTCATCCTTTGAATTCATCTAGATCTGCTTGGCATGTCGTTCGAGTCTCAATTCTTCACCTTGTTACACACCGTGTACTGGGCCAGACGTTATTGATCAACATGGACATATGGCACACCGAACCATAGACAACCTCTAGGACAGGTGACAGGCGATATCATCCTGGACCAACTCAATCAGCAGTGTATTAAAGGCTGGATCGACTCAGGGTCCCGACTGGACAGTGACGCTTCTATACTGGAATCCATCTTGGCCATTTATTGAGCGTGGTACAGGTCTGGTCTGTCATGATCTACTGCAGGCCAGACAAGCCGCCCAAGGTGCCAATGCTATCTCTTGTTACGGTCATCCATGATTAGTTTAGCCTGTCAATTCCTCTTGAACTCAAGCTTGAGACGAATAAAGTGGTGTGTAGGAATTGAAGAGGCCATGGTTCACAGTCAGCGTCAAGCTCATCTGTCTGTGGCTATTTAATCCCAAAATACAATAGAAAGCGCGATCGGGAAGTGGATTGTGAAGTAGGAAGTTTGAGTGAGTGAGTAGGTTGGGTTTATCGCCGCTTTGAAGAATAGTTCAGCTTAAGTGGTGGATGCGCTCGAACTGATGCAAATTTCAAATTACGGAATACTTTGAAAATAATTAGCAAGTGGATATCAATCACGGGAATGTCTGGGCCGGATTCCATTATTTACGGACCGCTGTCATTTAGCTGGAGTATTGCTGACAGCTGTGTTAAATAATCAAAATATGTCCTGAGAAAATCAGCTCATCCGTGACAATCCTCGTCAGAACGTCCAAACTTCAGCATCTTGTGTTTGATAAGGTATGCATGCCACATGCATGATTGTTTGCACTGGGGATAAGTTCAGAACGGTTGTTCAACAGTTTTTCACTTTCTGAAATAAGCAGGTTAATTGTTACAGTCGGTCTCTTCAACACATTTCCCTTTCGTGGAGTTAATAATCTATGTTGCAGCTTAATGTATTTGTTGTGTATCATAAATATAACTGAAGACGTGGGCGTCTAGGGTGTGTGGAGTTGCGTCCCTTAATCGTTCCAGGATCGTCATAATCGTTTGCACTTATTCAAGGGTGATCCTGATAATGACCCTTGATTTGTCAGCTCTGCTAATGTGTTCGTTTGGTTTCATCAAAACAATGCATGGGACGGTCATGTAGCCTAGTGGTGAAAGCATTTGCTCGTCACACCGAAGACCCAGGTTCAATTCCCCACATGGGTACAATGTGTGAAGACCATTTCTGGTGTCCCCCGCCGTGAAATTGCTGGAATATTGCTAAATGTGTCGTAAAATAAATTTACTCATTCAGTCACAAAGCGGCATAATGTTTAAGACATTCGTCAAATCAGGCTGTCCTCTCTCATTAAGCTATGACATACATTAAACCCTGCCAACACGTCGTAAAAGTCATCCTACTCACAACTCAAAAACACGAATTGAGAGTTAAGAGATGTCACGGAGTGGAATGGAGCGGAGGGGAGGGGAAGGGGAGCGGAGAGGAGCGGAGTTTAGGGGAGGGAAAGGGAAGGGGAGCGGAGGGAGCGGAGCTTAGGGGAGGGGAAGGGGAGCGGAGAGGAGCGGATGGAGAGGAGGAGAGGAGGAGGAGGGGAAAGGAAGGAGGGGGGAGATTAGAGCGGAGCGGAGGGGAGGACAGCGGGGTGGATGGGGGCGGTGCGGAGGGGAGGGAGGGATCGCAGGGGAGAGGAGTAGGGAGGAGGGAGCAGTGTAAAGCGGAGTTGGGTGGAGCGGTGTGGAGAGGAGAGGAGGGGAGTGGGGTGGAGGTGAGAGGAGCGTAGCGGAGTAGGGTGGAGGGGAGCGGAGTAGAGCGTAGCGGAGCGGAGGGGAGGGGAGTCGGGTGGAGGGGAGCGGAGAGGAGTGGAGGGGAAGGGAGTGGAGGGGAATGAAGTGGAGAGGAGGGGAGGGGAGTGTTTATCGCACCTTTAAAAATATTTCAGTTGTTTCACCTCGTGGCAGCTTGAACTGTAATGTAAACATAACGTGATGCAGGCCTAGCCGATTACTTCTTTGATCAGGCTTTATAGTGTGTCGTAGATAATCTACGTAGAACCGCAACCATCGTGCTGTGGGTTTTTGCATCAGACAGTTATCAGTTATTCGATGTATCTACAAGTAGATGTGTAATTTTTACAAATGTATTTTATTTTGACAGGTGTTTTGTTCCATGTGAGCTTAAAGGTACAGTCAGGCTTCGATTTGCCTTGAAACAAGAGAGGAGAAAGATGTGTGTTCCTTAGGTGTATTGAAGCAGGGGTCTAACGTAACATTCGCAATGCATCAATTCATAAATTAATGACATACAATGGTAATCAATGAGACCCTGATACGGGTACAGTATAAGTCAGGTAATATACACCATGCGTGGTATAGTACAGAGTGGACGTTAAATTCGTACAGAATTATCAAACACATAGTGCAACATTTACTGAGTGACTACGTGAATAATATATCCTTGTGGATAATTTAATAAATCATGGCAGTTGCACAGGACAAGTGCGGTTAAGAGCGCCTAGCAATTCAATTACGGTATGTCGTGCCTATTGCGTTAACTGCGGTAAGGATGAATGATTAGTGTTGAAGTAAACTTGAGTAACCAAAGTACATGCGTTGAGTGTATACGGCAAACACGGTTTAGATTAGACACATGGCATTTTACTCTGGTAAAGACGTACGCATTCATAACATAGTAATTATTTTGTCAACAAAATACTTTCGGCAAATATGGTAAGTGATTCGAATATATGTATCTACAGGGTACAAAGATATATGACTAGTTTTAGCTAGAATAATAGCTTGTTTTGTCATGGGGTACGTTCTTCTTCTTCTTTCTTTTTTTTTTTTGGGGGGGGGGTTACGGTAAATATTTTTCGACGGTGAAGTTGTCATTGGCAACGTGCATACCGATATATACGGATATTACCAATAATATAGGACAGTGACAATACGATAATTTTATACTTAACTGACTGAGTTAGGTTTTACGCCGCTTTTAGCAATGTTCCAGCAACATCACGGCGGGGGGCACCACAAATGGGCTTCACACATTGTGCCCATGTGGGGATTCGAACCCTGGTCTTCGGCGTGACGAGCCCACGCTTTAACCACTAGGCTACCCCACCGCCCCCTTTTATACTTAAACAGAACAGGTCGAAAGGTACATTTTCGTGACCTACAGAACAAGACAATCACCCAGTTTGACGACTTTGCTAATGTACAAAGACAGCGCTGACCTACGCGTATTTCTTTTATATACGGAGCTAAATACAAACGAAATGAAAATTAATTGCATACTTAAACCATGCGGGTTTTGATGTATATTTCATATGAAAGACAATAACTTATTCCAATGACTACGGTAATGCAATTCGCGTGTAAGCTGTTCTGTACCGTGTATAACCCAACTACACGAGGAATGGAACGTTTCATATTATTCAAATTCTTATTCATGGTCATAAAACATCAAAATACTGAATGACAGGCTTTGCAGCCTTTCTGTAAGCGCATGTCGGAGGTAAATCTCGAATTATATTTGATCGGTGGACTATCGGAAACCACAGAATGACTGACCTACATATAAGTGCACCATTGTTTTTTTACTGAACTATTGGACCTGTATATACAGATCTAAGAAGCTGAAGGGATATAACTAGATGTAGACTGGCCATACACAAACGGATGTCGAGATAGAGAAAAGAAATATCCGTAGGTCATTAAAGACGCATACGGGAGGAACCAACGACGCAATGTGCACGAAACATCACTGGATAGTGCCTACGAATTACTCGGCCATTTAGAACTAGCATTTACAGTGGTATTTCAAAAACTTTTCCAATATCGTAGCAATGATTTAAACTCAACTCTAATATATTCAGATAATAACAATGAAATAAGAGGAAACACTTAAAATGTTAACAAGGTTCAATGTAACATATGTTATATTTGGGATTACACTTTCTGAGTAAAGTTCAGGTTCTAGTACTTTTGTTGGGTTGAGTCCCATCTGGGATTCGAACCCACACCCTCAGAGTCAGGCACCTAATCGCCAGCACCTAATCGCCTGACTCTGAGGGTGTGGGTTCGAATCCCTTTGACCACTTTCTAAATGGCATTTAGGAGATATAATAGGTTTATCTCCATTCTACCATAACCGATTTAAAATCGAACTTCTTCATTCCGCGGAAGACACTGCATAATCCGGCATGGGGCGAGAGGCCAATTGAACTCGTCGGTGAAGGGAGTGGTAGGTGCCGTTCGCATTGTTTTAAACATTGCAACATAAGCAATATCTGCCCAAAGAAAACAAAACTACTGTTTAGTATTTCACGTAGTCATTGTAGAATGTGTAATCAAGGTTCAAATGTTTCTTACCTTGAAATAAGAAAGGAGAGAGCTGTGAGTTCCGTAGGTATATTCAAGCAAGTGTTATGGCAAAACCAAGGATTTTATACCTGCCAGATCTATTCTTGTCCGCTCTCGACCAAAGGATAGAAGGCATAAGCTCACTTACTTTATCTTTGATTAATTAGAGGTAGGCGTTCTGAACGCGTTTGCTAACTGTCTTCTGCTGCGCTTTACAAGTGGCGGCATAAACAAGATATACCATGCATAGGGGTTCCTTTGTTGGGAATAATTCGTCGAGTGTGTGAACCGTTAACAAAGTAAACAAGTCAAAAGGTAATACTTGACATTTAATATGGCATAAAAGAAACAAAAATAGTCTAAAACCAATGAAAACACTCCCCAATACTTCACTTTCACCGTAAGTGTGAATGTTAACCAAATGTCTATCTTCCCGATCATGAAAGTTATATCTGGATACTAATAACACGTGACTGGAGTACTATGGACATCTTTGTCCCTCAGTTATTATTGCTGAGTGCGGCGTAAAACTAAATTCACTCACTCACTCACTTACTGAGTATATTTCAAGTGACGATGCTAAGCTGTCGACAGACACAGAACGTGAAAAGCACGAGATTCTTAAAACCAAGTGCACCCTGTATAGCGATTGGTGTACATTCCGTTACATACCAATCAAGAACCACAGTTTCCTTCTGTTCAGGCATTGATAACAAGATAATATAATATACTTTTCCTCAGAGGTAAATTTGATTAACAGTCATAACATATATCAAGAAAATACCAACATGAACGAGTAAATATTATTTATGGCACAGTTGAAAGCGGTTTTATTACGTTGTTCGCTATATCACAGGTGCCACGTTAGAGCTGCTGAACATCCAAGGTGTTGGAAAAAGTGTGGGAGTATCCTTCCCGCTCGTTGCCACCCATCACACACACATGCAAAGGCAAGTCAACCTTGACCTGAAAAACGGTAATCACCATAACAGTCACTCTAAGGAATTGCGCCCGATATCATTCTCGTCACTGATGGTACACATTTAAAACTGTCCTCCACGTATCCACCATAAAACCATTTGGAAGTCAGGCGGACCAGTTGTATATTCGTTGAGCAATGTTCCATGATAACTGTCACAGAGACTGGCCAACCGATCACCATTGAAGTGGGAACTGTTCCGACTCGGAATCCTCAAGGGGGAATATGGCCAGCAATGAACGCTTCACAACCACAGGTCTTGAATTCCAAATCTTTCAAATCTCCGAATGTCATAGTGCGATATGTGCACCAATGATTATGTATACTAATGTTAACAATATGAAACGTATTGCACCCACTATAATATGTGTGACTAAATGCTGAAACTCTGTCGTGCAGATGTTCTATGTACCATGGGCCGATGGCCTACATGTACCCCTTGCAAATAAACAAATAAACAAATATTGCAAATATTGCAAATATTGCAACGATGTGCACAACAATATAGCAGGAATGTGGGTGACATTGAGGTGTCAAAGAACACAAATACAACATACCATCCACAATCCTCCAATAAAATACTACGAACATGGAATATATCAATGGAGCTGCAATTTGCCGACCACTTCAGACTCAAGTTTGTCAAAGTAGTTGTCAGTTTGATGTCTCCGCAGGATATGATATTTCCCTTTTGGTATGTAGAAACTCATGATGTTCTGCCGGAACAACTTGGCCAGGATGAGCGAGTACGCTGACTGGTCAAACCGGTGGCACTTGCTGTATTGCCGTATCTTGTTGTTACAGTGGAACTGCGGTTCCGACTGGTCAGTGGCCATGCACAGGGGGTCAAGGGCACACGCCGTCCACACCTTCACCAAGAAATTCCTGGAAACACAAACGTCAGAGATGACAGAACTGTTTGGAATTACTTACTTTAGTCAGTGAGTGAGTTTAGTTTGAACATTGTTCCAGCTGTCTCAGCTTCGTGTGTGAGGTTTGCTTTGTTGTTTAATGCCCCACTCAGCAATATGATGGCGGTCTGTAACGGAGGTGTGTTTCAAGTAACTTCCTTCACAACCTCCTGTTATTAATCGCCATTCCACAATGGTATTTAATACGTTTCTTTGTTTACGTAAACAGAAAATACTTTGTGGCTGCCGCTTTGAAATTCTGGCTGGAAAAACAAAATAGTTTAAAAGTCTCCAGACGACGAAGATGGTCAAAGGGAAGTAACTCGACATGGCATATCTGACTGCCTTGTACACTGATGACATATTCACATCTTGCACTCGGCACAGTGGATTGATAAGCACGCTGCTATTAACTAATTCATTAGGAGTTAATACTGATGTAGATTTCTTTATTTTGACTGAAAATCAGTAGGGGATACTGTCATCGTATAACGTTATTGTTTTGACACGCAATATTTGTCATATCAATTATTGAGAGATTTTACGTCGCTTACAACACTACGACATGGGACAACCTCTTGAGGCAGTTGAACACACGGAAATGGTCAACGGTGTTAAGAGCGGGTGATAATGTTGGAAATCAGACTAAAATCTCCCTGGCAAATAGATTACCAGTGATATCATGAGTATGAGCAGTGTTTCCTAATAGATCACAGTGATATAGACCAATTAGTTACGTTCATATTACCCAAGGAAATATATTCTTTAAATGGGAAATTCTGTTGAGAAACTCTTATGCCGTGGACCCATACCTTATAAAGGGGTCGTTGTGGAGAATCTGGAAGCCGGCTTCGGCTTCGTTATACTGTGAGAAGTGGCAAGCGGAGTCGCTGAAGTACTGGAACATGTCCTTGGAAGTGTGTTCCGCCAGGGCGTACTTGCCGACGGGGGAGAAGGCGAGGCCTCTGGCTCGGGCATCCTCAAACATGGGGGTGAGTTGACCGGTCCGGAACCTCACCGAGGAGTCCACCCAGACGATGTAGTCCGTCGTGGGCAGGTGCGCCTGCACAGACAGATAGATTGAGTGACTGAGGGAGTAGTTTAACACAGTAGGGTGTCACTATGTGTCACATATAGGAAGAAAACCAGCATGATTACGTTCATGGCATTTAGCATGGTGCAATGGTTCGTGGATTTGAAACTACGGTAACAGGAACGCGATAGCGCATCGCAGCATCTTTCACTACTGGACGCCACGGCGCCAAATCAACTCCATGATATATATATATATGGGTATCTGAGGAATGTAGTTTAACGTGTTCAATTCACTTTCAACGCCAGTTTACTGACGAATTCAACATGCCACGACTTAGCGAAGCTGACCGGAACATCGCCATCGGACGTCTTGAAGCTGGCGAATCTCAGTCATCAGTTGCAAGACACTTCAACGTGCATCACACAACAATTTCCCGTTTATGGAGGCGCTACAATCAACTGGGCTCGACCCGCGACCGACCTCGGAGTGGTAGACCACGGGTAACCAATGCTGCACAGGACCGCTACATCCGGGTGTTCCATTTACGTAACCGGGCCGTCCCAGCAACACAAACAGCAGAGAACGTCCCAGGTCTTCGCCGCGTCTCCGCCCAGACCATCAGAAATCGCCTCAGACAGCACGGGATACGCCCTCGACGACCTCACGTAGGATGCACACTACGACCTCATCATCGCCTGGCACGTGTTCGATGGTGCAGGAACGTCCAGAGATGGAATTGGAGACATTGGCAGCGAATTTGGTTCAGCGACGAATCTCGTTTCCAGCTTCAAAGACACGATGGTAGGACGAGGGTCTATAGACGGAGAAACGAACGTTACGCCCGTAATTGTGTGTAGTTGAAGCGGACAGATTTGGAGGGGGAAGTGTGATGGTATGGGGGGCCATTTCTTACAACGGGAGAAGTGACTTGGTGCACGTCCGTGGTAACCTGACTGCAATTCGTTACAGGGATGAAATTCTGCAACGTCATCTTTTACCTGTCATCAACCTCAACGTCAAGTTTTCCAACAGGACAACGCCAGACCGCACGTGGCTCGCATCACGATGGACTACCTGACGAATCAGAACATCACAGTTCTTCCCTGGCCTTCAAAATCCCCCGATTTGAACCCAATAGAGCATTTGTGGGACCAGCTTGGGAAACGCGTTCGACGTTGTCAGCCCCTCAACCCCAAACGTTGCAACAACTGTCTCAAGCCTTGCAGGAGGAAATGGAGGAGGATCCCCCAAGCACTATATGTATCTGACAAATGTAGCAAATTATCTCAATTTATGAACACTGGGCAGTCTGTATTTGTTAAATGGGACTTGGGTCCTGCCTCAACAAGAAAAAAATGTACCAATACAATATCATAAACGTACATTGATGATGATAGGTTTCCAGGTGAATCCCCGGATGAAGCGTAGTCGAGTGGGTAGTTTCTCAAACGGGTATTTTCTCACCTCACACATGCACAGTCTCTGTAACTGTGGAATAAAACAAGGTAATTGTGTTACATCAAACATGCACAGTGTCTGTAACTGTGGAATAAAACAAGGTTATTGTGTCACATCAAACATGCACAGTCTCAGTAACTGTGGAATAAAACAAGGTTATTGTGTCACACCAAACATGCACAGTCTCTGTAACTGTGGAATAAAACAAGGTTATTGTGTCACATCAAACATGCACAGTCTCTGTAACTGTGGAATAAAACAAGGTTATTGTGTCACACCAAACATGCACAGTGTCTGTAACTGTGGAATAAAACAAGGTTATTGTTACATCAAACATGCACAGTCTCTGTAACTGTGGAATAAAACAAGGTTATTGTGTCACATCAAACATGCACAGTGTCTGTAACTGTGGAATAAAACAAGGTTATTGTGTTACATCAAACATGCACAGTGTCTGTAACTGTGGAATAAAACAAGGTTATTGTTACATCAAACATGCACAGTCTCTGTAACTGTGGAATAAAATAAGGTTATTGTGTTACATCAAACATGCACAGTGTCTGTAACTGTGGAATAAAACAAGGTTATTGTGTCACATCAAACATGCACAGTGTCTGTAACTGTGGAATAAAACAAGGTTATTGTTACATCAAACATGCACAGTCTCTGTAACTGTGGAATAAAACAAGGTTATTGTGTCACATCAAACATGCACAAACTGTGGAATAAAACAAGGTTATTGTGTTACATCAAACATGCACAGTCTCTGTAACTGTGGAATAAAACAAGGTTATTGTGTTACATCAAACATGCACAGTGTCTGTAACTGTGGAATAAAACAAGGTTATTGTGTCACATCAAACATGCACAGTGTCTGTAACTGTGGAATAAAACAAGGTTATTGTGTCACATCAAACATGCACAGTGTCTGTAACTGTGGAATAAAACAAGGTTATTGTGTTACATCAAACATGCACAGTGTCTGTAACTGTGGAATAAAACAAGGTTATTGTGTCACATCAAACATGCACAGTGTCTGTAACTGTGGAATAAAACAAGGTTATTGTGTTACATCAAACATGCACAGTGTCTGTAACTGTGGAATAAAACAAGGTTATTGTGTTACATCAAACATGCACAGTGCCTGTAACTGTGGAATAAAACAAGGTTATTGTTACATCAAACATGCACAGTCTCTGTAACTGTGGAATAAAACAAGGTTATTGTGTTACATCACACATGCACAGTGTCTGTAACTGTGGAATAAAACAAGGTTATTGTGTCACATCAAACATGCACAGTGTCTGTAACTGTGGAATAAAACAAGGTTATTGTGTTACATCAAACATGCACAGTCTCTGTAACTGTGGAATAAAATAAGGTTATTGTGTTACATCAAACATGCACAGTGTCTGTAACTGTGGAATAAAACAAGGTTATTGTGTTACATCAAACATGCACAGTGTCTGTAACTAAATAAAACAAGGTTATTGTTACATCAAACATGCACAGTGTCTGTAACTGTGGAATAAAACAAGGTTATTGTTTCACACCAAACATGCACAGTCTCTGTAACTGTGGAATAAAACAAGGTTATTGTGTCACACCAAACATGCACAGTGTCTGTAACTGTGGAATAAAGCAAGGCTATTATGTTACATCACACATGCACAGTCTCTGCAACTGATGAACACACACAGTCAGTATGTAACACGTAACAGGCTTTCCCTGAAATTGTGCTGCTATCTCTTTAGCTGATGAGTGAGTTTAGTTTTACGCAGCTTTTAGCAATATTCAAGCAATATCACGGCGGGGGACACCATACATTGGCTTCACACATTGTACCCATGTGGGGAATCGAACCAGGGTCTTCGGCGTGACGAGCGAAAGCTTTAACCACTAGGCTATCCCGCCGCTGATGAACAATTACACGATTGACATGCTGTCCTGATGAACAAACACATGACGATCACCATGACGACGGCGATCTAGCTTGTTATGACGTGGCTACTGACCTGCTCCCTCTCGTCCTCTTCAAGTCCGATGTCGTAGTAGATGAAGGTGTAGTTGTGTAGTCTCGGGAACACGGTCAGGTGGAGGTTCTTAATGAGAGCCTGGGATTCCAGGAAATGGTCAGAAGAACCAGCTGTGATGAATGTGACATTGTGTCCAGTAGGGAGGTCTCCGAGAAGCTTTACGGTTTTAGAAATGGCCCTCTCCTTCAGTCGGGTAAGTGGTTTCAGGACACTCCTGAGATTCTCGTCGCTATGCGTATCCGGAAGTTTGGCTCCACAATTCTTATCAATACAAACTTTATCTGAAATGAAATCACATATTTAACGTTGTGTTACATCGATTCAACACCTTGTGAATGAAATGTGGGTACATCCATGATACTAGTCCAGTAACAAATCGCGAGGCACGAGTGATTGAGTTTGGATTGGATTTGAATCTATTTCTGTTCTGTAATGGTAAGTCTCAAACTTTTGCATCTTTTGTGGTTTGGTTTGGTCTGGTTTGGTTGTTGTTTAACGCCGCACCCAGCAATATTTCAGCTACATGGCGTCAGTCTGTATATAGACAATCCAGTGATCAACAGCAAGAGCATCAATCTACGCAACTGGGATACGATGACATGTGTGCATCTTTGGTGGAACATAGATGGTGCTAACAAACCAAGACGTCAGGGCGAATCTCCAATTGGAACTACTGCATCCAATGGCACCCTGATATCCGCATTGTTGTACCTTATACGACTTGGGCATGACAATTTCCTAGCAAGTGATCGTCATATGAGCGAAATATTCTCGAGCACGACGATAAACCCAATTTCACCTCACCTCCTAGCAAGTGTATTTCACCAATGTCAGGATGTGTTTCCTTGCAAAATACACGCACAAATTGTCAAGTGATTAGAACACATTTTGATTTCGGCCATTATTTTCTAAATTTGATTCGTCTGGGTCAAGATCCTTCCCGTACCTGGTTCGTCTGCCCTGCAAGCGTTTCTCGGTGGAAAATGTCTTAGGACGCCATTCCGTTTAAGATCTGAAAATATAAACGTTCTATATTTGCATATATCTGAGATTGTGATGGCAACGTTATCGGATTAGTTTACTGCATGTCTGTTATATGACAGAATGTTATTCAGTCATAACACGCACCATACGTGCCCACAGTAGTATGGACATTATGGAATCCTATAGACCATTCTTAGCCAATATGCATGACCTCGAGGTCAAATCGAAAGCGAGGCTTAAATAGGTTGACCCAACCTTGAAAATGGCGACCTCGAAAAGGAAAGATTACTGCTGTGTGCCTTTGCGTTGGAGTGATGCCCGTAAGGATTTTACGGTATCTTTTCACCATATTCCCAAGAATAAGATCAGAAGAAGGCAGTGGTTGACGAAAATACGGAGAGATCCTGGAAAATGATTCATAGTAAGTACAAAATAATTACGGCACATGGCATAGTCTAGATCTGCCGTGTAATGTACAAACTGTTCACTACGCAAGGTTTTAATATCAGGGGCACATGTACAATGTGAATGTCAGACACACACAGACACATTCAAACCCCCCCATCCACCCCACCCACACACACACACACATTGTCTTGTCCAAAATCAGTGATCACCCCCCTAGTTCATATGTACACAATTGACCCTACCCCTGCCTCCCAAAACAAACTGGGAGACACCCCAACCCCCGCAAACACCGCACCTAAAATCATCATCACCCCCCTAGTCATAAATTATGAACGGTCCAATATATTAAAAAAAATTAAGCATATGGACATGTGCAGACACTAGTGGTGTAACGATTCATCGATAGTATCGATGTTTGCATCGTCAACTACGCGATACGAGTGCATCGATACAAAACACATTTAGGCAATATATCAGGATATTTATATCGCAAGGGTCCACGATACATCGATGTATCGCCACAAGAGACGATATATCCCGATACAACTTCAATACTAGTTAAAGTTGTAAGGAGTATTGCATTAGGAATAGGAAGGGAGTCTCTTTGAAATTCTTCTGAATTTTAAAAAACAAATTGAACCTTTTAGGAATTTGTTTGTGTCTGTTATCTTTGTTACATGGACAAAGGAGTTGGTGTATAAGTGAAAGAGTGTGAACATGTTTCAAACTCTGTGAACTGTAGAATACTTGTCTTTAGTAATTGAAATATGTTTTAGTTGTTTGACAAATAACACCATTTATTAACATACACGAACGACGTCTTAGCTTTGTTAAGAAAGAGAACAAAGAGAAGATAAAATTTAGAAAGCATACTTATGAGTTTTTTGCAGTGATTCTGGTATAAATTACTACATACATTGCCTGTGAAAGCATTGGTGCAGAAACACAACTTTCCAAGGGAAACCTAGAGCAAGGTATACTGAATATGTTTGATTGTACTTTCTTAAGCATTAAATGCTGAAACTTTATTACATGAACAGCCTTTTAAGTGTGTGTGAATGTAACACATGCTCTGCTGAATAACAAATAAAGATTCGGTCATTTTATCTATCATATATGTCCTGTTTTTAGGATTGTAAAGTATCGGGATAAGTATCGTATCGCCATCACTGTATAGTGATGATAATCGTCTCGCAGGTTCCTTGCCAATACTTTCATGATATATCGTCTCGCCTCATTAAATTAGTATCGGGATATATCGTCTCGCCACTTAGGCCACGATACACAGCTCTACTAAAATCCCAATCTTAGTGTGACGTTACGATCGGCATGCCGTTCCACTAACCAATCTTACCCAAGTCAATCGTAAAGTTAAGATCCAAAGTCTAAGTTGCTCATGACCAACTTAGGATCGCTTTTATAACTTACATCTACTAATAGTCTTGGCTATATCTTCTAATAGTCTTGGATATACCTTCTAATAGTCTTGGTTATACCTTCCAACAGTCTTGGTTATATCTTCCAACAGTCTTGGTTATATCTTCTAATAGTCTTGGTTATACCTTCCAACAGTCTTGGTTATATCTTCCAATAGTCTTGGTTATATCTTCTAATAGTCTTGGTTATATCTTCCAATAGTCTTGGTTATATCTTCCAATAGTCTTGGTTTATAACTTACATCTACTAATAGTCTTGGATATACCTTCTAATAGTCTTGGATATATCTTCTAATAGTCTTGGATATACCTTCTAATAGTCTTCGTTATACCTTCCAACAGTCTTGGTTATATCTTCCAACAGTCTTGGTTATATCTTCTAATAGTCTTGGTTATACCTTCTAATAGTCTTGGTTATACCTTCCAACAGTCTTGGCTATATCTTCCAACAGTCTTGGTTATATCTTCTAATAGTCTTGGCTATATCTTCCAACAGTCTTGGTTATATCTTCTAATAGACTTGGTTATATCTTCTAATAGTCTTGGCTATATCTTCCAACAGTCTTGGCTATATCTTCTAATAGTCTTGGTTATATCTTCTAATAGTCTTGGCTATATCTTCCAACAGTCTTGGTTATATCTTCTAATAGTCTTGGCTATATCTTCTAATAGTCTTGGTTATATCTTCTAATAGTCTTGGGGGCGGTGGGGTAGCCTAGTGGTGAAAGCGTTGGCTCGTCACGCCGAAGACCCGGGTTCGATTCCCCACATGGGCACAATGTGTTAAGCCCATTTCTGGTGTCCCCCGCCGTGATATTGCTGGAATATTGCTAAAAGCGGCGTAAAACTAAACTCAGTCAGTCAGTCTAATAGTCTTGGCTATATCTTCCAACAGTCTTGGTTATATCGTCTAATAGTCTTGGTTATATCTTCTAATAGTCTTGGTTATATCTTCTAATAGTCTTGGTTATATCTTCTAATAGTCTTGGTTATATCTTCTAATAGTCTTGGTTATATCTTCCAACAGTCTTGGTTATACCTTCCAACAGTCTTGGCTATATCTTCCAATAGTCTTGGTTATATCTTCTAATAGTCTTGGTTATATCTTCCAATAGTCTTGGTTATATCTTCCAATAGTCTTGGTTTATAACTTACATCTACTAATAGTCTTGGATATACCTTCTAATAGTCTTGGATATATCTTCTAATAGTCTTGGATATACCTTCTAATAGTCTTTGTTATACCTTCCAACAGTCTTGGTTATATCTTCCAACAGTCTTGGTTAACAGTCTTGGTTATATCTTCTAATAGTCTTGGTTATACCTTCTAATAGTCTTGGTTATACCTTCCAACAGTCTTGGCTATATCTTCCAACAGTCTTGGTTATATCTTCTAATAGTCTTGGCTATATCTTCCAACAGTCGTGGTTATATCTTCTAATAGACTTGGTTATATCTTCTAATAGTCTTGGCTATATCTTCCAACAGTCTTGGTTATATCTTCTAATACTCTTGGTTATATCTTCTAATAGTCTTGGCTATATCTTCCAACAGTCTTGGTTATATCTTCTAATAGTCTTGGCTATATCTTCTAATAGTCTTGGTTATATCTTCTAATAGTCTTGGCTATATCTTCCAACAGTCTTGGTTATATCTTCTAATAGTCTTGGTTATATCTTCTAATAGTCCTGGCTATATCTTCTAATAGTCTTGGTTATATCTTCTAATAGTCTGGGCTATATCTTCTAACAGTCTTGGCTATATCTTCTAATAGTCTTGGTTATATCTTCTAATAGTCTTGGTTATATCTTCTAATAGTCTTGGCTATATCTTCCAACAGTCTTGGTTATATCTTCTCTTGGTTATATAGTCTTGGTCTATATCTTCCAATAGTCTTGGTCTATATCTTCCAACAATAGTCTTGGTTATATCTTCCAACAGTCTTGGTTATATCTTCCAATAGTCTTGGTTATATCTTCTAATAGTCTTGGTTATATCTTCCAACAGTCTTGGTTATATCTTCTAATAGTCCTTTCTAATAGTCTTGGTTATATCTTCTAATCTTGGATATACCTTCTAATAGTCTTGGTTATATCTTCCAATAGTCTTGGTTATATATCTTCAATAATAGTCTCTTGGTGGTTATATCTTCTAATAGTCTTGGTTATATCTTCTAACAGTCTTGGTTATATCTTCCAACAGTCTTGGTTATATCTTCCAATCTTGGTTAGTCTTGGCTATATCTTCCAACAGTCTTGGTTAATCTTCTAATCTCTTGGCTATATCTTCTCTTGGTTAATAGTCTTGGCTATATCTTCCAACAGTCTTGGTTATATCAGTCTTGGTTATATCTTCTAATAGTCTTGGCTATATCTTCCAACAGTCTTGGCTATATCTTCTAATAGTCTTGGTTATATCTTCTAATAGTCTTGGTTATATCTTCTAATAGTCTTGGTTATATCTTCCAATAGTCTTGGCTATATCTTCTAATAGTCTTGGCTATATCTTCTAATAGTCTTGGTTATATCTTCTAATAGTCTTGGTTATATCTTCTAATAGTCTTGGTTATATCTTCTAATAGTCTTGGTTATATCTTCTAATAGTCTTGGTTATATCTTCTAATAGTCTTGGTTATATCTTCTAATAGTCTTGTCTTGGTTATATCTTCTAATAGTCTTGGTTATATCTTCTAATAGTCTTGGTTATATCTTCTAATAGTCTTGGCTATATCTTCTAACAGTCTTGGTTATATCTTCTAATAGTCTTGGTTCTTGGTTATATCTTCTAATAGTCTTGGCTATATCTTCTAATAGTCTTGGTTATATCTTCTAATATATCTTCTAATAGTCTTCTAATAGTCTAATAGGTTATATCTTCTAACAGTCTTGGTTATATCTTCTAATAGTCTTGGCTATATCTTCCAACAGTCTTGGTTATCTTAATAGGGTTATATCTTCTAATAGTCTTGGCTATATCTTCTAATAGTCTTGGTTATATCTCTAATAGTCTTGGTTATATCTTCCAACATCTTCTAATAGTCTTGGCTATATCTTCCAACAGTCTTGGTTATATCTTCTAATAGTCTTGGTTATATCTTCTAATAGTCTTGGTTATATCTTCTAATAGTCTTGGTTATATCTTCTAAGTCTTGGTTATATCTTCCAATAGTCTTGGCTTATATCTT